GAGACATTGTCTTACATATTTTGGACATGCTGTCAGGAGAGACCAGTCCCTGGACAAGGACATCATAGTTGATAAAGTAAACCAAAAACCAAACTCACTGCCATCGAGTCCATTCTAACTCGTAGCGATCCCCAGTGGGTTTCAGAGACTGTGACTGTTTATGGGAGTCGAAAACCCAGTCTTTCTTCTGAGGAGCTGCTGGTGGTTTCAAACTGCCAGCCATGCGGATCACAGCCCAACGGCGCAACTACTACACCACCAGGGCTCCTTGGAAGAGTGAAATCCAGGGGCAGTGAAGAAGAGGAAGGCCTTCAGTGAGATGAACCGAACAATTGAGAGGATGGCGTGGGACCAGGCAGTGTTTAATTCTGTTGTGCATAAGGTCACTGTGGATGGGAACCGAATAGATAGCACCTAATAACAACACTGGCTAGACAGTGGCTCCTCCTCCGTCCTCCTCTCCCCCTGGTAACTATCAAAGAACCTTACTTGTTCAGTACATGCCTGCTTTGCAATTTTAGTGAAGTTGTGCAAAATTTCCTTTTGCAATTGACTTATTTCAATCAGCACAATGTCCACCAGATTTATCCATGTTATCATATATTCTGAGAACTCATTATTCTTTATAGTTGCATAGTGAAGCATGTATGTGCTATGATTTATTTATCCATTCATCCCGCGATGGGCACTTACGTGGTTTCTGTCTTTTTTGCTGTTGTGACGAGTGCTGCAGTGAGCATGGGTGTGCATATGTCTATAGGTGTCATTGCTATTAGACCTCTAGGTATAGCATTGCTGGATCAAAAGGTTCTTTCTTAATGGAACAAATGACTGCTGTCTGGAAATATGAATATACCCAGAGGAGCCCTGGTGGTGTGTTGGGCTGAGTTCGAACCCACCAGCGGCTCCATTGGAGAAAGATTGGGCTTGCTACTCCCATCAACACTTACAATCTTGGAAACCACAGGCAGTCGCTCTGAGTTAGCATCGACTGACTTGGTGGCGTGAGTTTGGTTGGTTTTTGGAGAGGAGCCTTAGAAGAAAGACCTGGCAGTTTACCCCTGCAAAATCAACTCTGAAAGCCGGACAGAGCACGTGAGGTCATCCTGAGTCAGAAGCAGAATCCATTCCATGACGACTGGTTTGTCAGTTTTCAGTTCTAGAGCTGCTCAGAGGAAAGGCTATAAAGTGTGACCACAACCATTCCTATGTTAGGCTCTATTGCCCCCTACAGGCTAATTTGATGAACTGCCCTGTTATATCTCCCCTCCCCCTCCCCCGCCCCAGCTCACATTGTGCTAGATTACTTAAAGGTGCTCTGATTTTGCAACGACAATAATAACAACTTAAAAACAGATATGAATGGTTACCTAGGTAGAGCTGTACGCACACAAGAACTCACATGTGTGCATGTGTTGGTGTAACTGCATTCCACTTGTAAAACGGACTCTTCCTCTGCTCCATTTCTCTTTCTAGCCAACCCTATTCAGTGGAAACATTGAAATTACCATCAGGAATTGAAACTGAGGAGTATAAATTGTGAATTTATGAGCATAGTGTTTCAGTCCCCAAACAAAACAAAATTCACTGACATCACATCAGTACCGACTCGGAGTAACTGTATAGAGCAGGAAAGGGTAGAACTGCCCATGTGAGTTTCTGAGACTGTACCTGGTTCCAGGAGGAGAGCCTTGTCTTTCGCGGAGCAGAGCGGGTGGTGGTTTGGAACTGCGGACCTTCCAGATAGCAGCCCACTGTGTAACCCTTACACCACCGGGGCTCCTTAAAAAGTGCTCGAGATTGGAATCACCCTGCTGAGTTAGTTGCTACACCCTGCTGTGGAAAAACCTTAGATGATGTCTAGTGGAAAGTGCCATTTTCCTACTTGAAATCATTTCATTCCGGACCCACGTTTGGGTTTCATTGTTAGCAATGTCAAACCTAACACTTAACAGCTGGCATTTATTTGTTTCCATATTTAAATTTCTCTCTCTCTTTTTTCTGAAGTCATCGGAAAGCAAAGTGCAAACATAGTAAAATGCGCGGTGGAGTTGATCCTGACCCACGGGGACCCCCGGGCCAGGGTAGATCTGCTCCACACCATTTCCAGGGCTGCTGTCCTTGCAGAAGCAACCTCTCAGGGTGGCTGGCGAGTTTAGAGCACCACTCTTGCAGTGAGCAGCCCACTATTCACTCATTGCATCGCCAAAGAAAGCAAAACTAAACCAAACCACTGCCATCTAGTCAATTCCAACTCCTAGTGACCTTAGAAAGGGTCACAGACAACCTCTCTCTTCTCTCTCTCTCACTGAATGGCTAGTGGGTTTGAACGACATCCTTCAGTCACTTCTAAGGACATCAGCAGGCATCTCTAAAAAATCATATTTTAACTAAGCACAATATTAATACACCCAATTCACAATAATTATTTCATGACATTTAATATCCAATATCTTATCAGACTTAAAAAATCATTTTATTGGGGGCGCATACAACTCTTATCACAATCCATACACACATCCATTGTGTCAAGCACATTTGTACATTTGTTGCCATCATCATTCTCAAAACACTTGCTTTCTGCTTGAGCCCTTGGTATCAGCTCCTCATTTTTCCCCTCCTTTCCCACCACCCCCTCCCTCATGAACCCTTGATAATTTATAAATTATTATTATTTTGTCATATCTTATACTATTCGCCGTCTCCCTTCACCCACTTTTCTGTTGTCCATCCCCCAGGGAGGAGGGAGGAATTTTACGTAGATTCTTGTAATCGGTTCCCCCTTTGTACCCCACCTTCCCCCGGTATTGCCACTCTAACCACTGGTCCTGAAGGGGTCATCCACCCTGGATTCCCTGTGTTTCCAGTCCCTATCTGTACCAGTGTACATCCTCTAGTCTAGCTGGATTTATAAGGTGGAATTGGGTCATGATAGTGGAGGGGAGGGGGAAGCATTTAAGAACTAGAGGAAAGTTATATTTCATTGTTGCTACACTGCACCCTGACTGGCTTATCTCCTCCCTGAGACCCTTATGTAAAAGGATATCCAGCTGCCTACAGATGGGCTTTGGGTACCCACTCTGCACTCCCCCTTATTCACAATGGTATGATTTTTTTGTGTTCTTTGATGCCTGATCCCTGATCCCTTTGACCCCTCTTGATCACACAAGCTGGTGTGCTTCTTCCATGTGGCTTTGTTGCTTCTAAGCTAGATGGCCACTCGTTTACCTTCAAGCCTTTAAGACCCCAGTTGCTATCTCTTTTGAAAGCTGGGCACCATCAGCTTTCTTCACCACATTTGCTGATATACCTGCTTTGTCATTAGTGATTCTGTCAGGAAGGTGAGCATCATGGAATGCCAGTTTAATTGAACAAAGTGTTCTTGTATTTAGGGAGTACTTGAGTGGAGGCCCAAAGTCTGTCTGCTTCCTTAATACCAAACCTTTAAATATGTGCACATAGATCTATTTCCCCATCATCATATATAAATATATTTACATATGTACATACTTGTATTTAGACCTGTATAAATGCCCTTTGCCTCCTAGTTCTTTTCTCTATTTCCTTTAACTTTCCTCTTGTCCCACTATCATATTCAGCCTTCATTTGATTATTTATAATCCTTGGATCACACAAGCTGATGTATTTCTTCCATGTGGACTTAGGTGATGGCTCACTTAGATGGTTGTTTGTTTTAAGATAAGCCTTTGAGACCCCAGGTATTCTTCTCTCTGATAGCTGGGCACCATCTGATTTCTTCAATACACTTTGCTATAGCACCTGTATCCTCAGTGACTTTTCCATGAGGGTGATTGAGTAGGGCTGTGGGTGACATTGACTTTTGAAGATGTGTAATTGTTATACTGAATATTCTGGATTTGCCTGGCTGTGTTCTTACCATGTTTAACTTATCCTTATAGCCTCTGGAAGTCACATCTGAATTCTATGTTTTTTTAAAAATTATTTTATTGGAGGCTTGTACAATTCTTATCACAATCCATACATATGTCCATTGTGTCAAGCATATATGTACATTTGTTGCCCTCATCATTCTCAAAACATTTGCCTTCCACTTTAGCCCTTAATATCAGTTGCTCATTTTCTCCTTCCCTCCCCAACACATCTGAATTCTTCCTTAGTTTTAGTCTAAACTTGTTTGCCAAAATGTTTTCTTAGGTAACACTGCCAAACTTAGATTGTCACCTGTCAGCACATAATGCTCTTAGTGATGATGAGTTTTCTTTCTTCAAAAGGAACAAACTAGAAAGGCAAATCTCACATTATCCTCTCCATTTTTCCATCAAATTACCTATCTCTCGGGTGTTTAGGTGAGTCTGGTTAAGATAGCCTCAGCCAGATCTCTCCTTTCAAAAGGCATATCTTTTTCTTTTCAAATTGGCAAGTACCTTCGGCGTCATACTCTAACACCCAGCACCAGGCCTCGGCCCCTCCAATTTAGCAGCTTTAACATCCATTTTCCTGGGGAATGATGCATGTTCCTTTGATAGAACCCTTTTGTGCCACAAGTAAATTATTTAAAAAATTGTTTAGCAACGTTTGAGTTGGCTCTGGCTAAAGGGACTTCCGATAACAGCAGAAATCAGAAGAAAACAGAAGAAATCAGAAGCTGGTTGGTTTCCAAGGAAAGACTTAAACATTGGCGAGCCCCTGGGAGGTACGCTTTTTGGGGGGGTATCCTGTGGAGGAGCTGTTTCAGAGAAGACTTAGGGATGCTAAGGATCTAAAGCTCCATTTCTTCAGATCTTTCGGCCATTCTTTTGAGGAACTCTCTTCTTCCTCCTTGCCCACCTAATAAGCCTAAGACACTTCCATGGTGACCCTTACCAGGGCAGATGGGTTGTGCAATCTCTTGGCAGAAAGGTGTCATTTATGAAGAGGGGGGGCAACAGCATTAGGAAAAATAGACCTGTTGTTTTCAAGCAGCTTATGCTTATTTGCTGATCCCACTCTAACCCACCTGATCTGGTTTTCCTTTGCAGTACTCCTTGGTGGAACTGCAGGTAAGTAGATATTTCTTTTTCTTCTCTGTTAGTTGTGCAGAAGGAGAAATGAGAGCCTACTCCTAAGCCTGAAAGCCAGAAACGGCCTTCAGATCTCAGCCCAGACTCGGGAATTCACAGCCCCACCAAAGCTTGTGTCTGCTCCATGCTTCTGCCATCCTGTACTCCCAGACCTAATGCTCTATAGAGAAAGACGTCCCTCTCTGCTGTGATCACGCACCCCCTTGGTTCCTGTCATCATCTGCCTCTATGGCATGCCAACTGAACTGGTCTTGGCTCTGCATTCCTCATAACCTGAGGCAATACGTGTCCAATTTCAGCAATCATGACAAGTGTTTGTGTGAGTGAGTGAATGAGTGTTACTGAGAAGGTAAGGAATTGGAAGGGCAAATACCCTCTCCATTTTTTTTTCCATCAAATTATTTCTCTCTCAGGTATTTTACAATGACTCCCTTCAACTCTTTTCTTTAGTAGGAACCAAGAAAAGGACACTTTATTTAAAAAATCATTTTATTAGGGGCTCACACAACTCTTATCACAATCCATACATACATCAATTGTGTAAAGCACATTTGTACATTCATCAATCTCAAAGCATTTGCTCTCCACTTAAGCCCCTGGCATCAGCTCCTCATTTTTTCCCTTCCCTCCCTGCTCCCCCATCCCTCATGAACCCTTGATAATTTATCAATTATTATTTTGTCATATCTTACACTGTCCGACATCTCCTTTCACCCACTTTTCTGTTGTCCATCCCCCAGGGAGGAGGTTATATGCAGATCCTTGTAATCGGTTCCCCCGTTCCACCCCACCCTCCCTCCACAAGGATAAACACTTAAAGCCTACTTTCTGACACTGGTGTTAATACTTTAGGGGAGTTTGTCCAATCATTTGAACTCACATGGACCAATGGACTCCCAAACAAGGGTTGGCCCTATAGGAAATTTATCTCATTCAGTGGTGAAGAAAATGATAAATAATATGGGGAAGTGCTCTCTTGAACAGACTCCAGGGGTCAAGTCAATGGAGTCCTAAGAAGCATAGTGCCCTCACCCTTTGTAGACATGGCCACCTTCACCTTTACCTAGGTGAACTCATAGTGACCTAGTGTCGTGTGCAGGCATTAGCAGCTGGCACACCGTTCTGTTTCTCTTTACTTGAACAGGATCCAAACAACAACAGGATTGCACAATGGTTGGATGTGGTGCCCGAGCAGGGCATTGTAGACCTGTCTTTCCAACTGGCTTCAGAGGCAATGCTGGGCACCTATACTGTGGCAGTGGCTGAAGGCAAGACCTTTGGCACCTTCAGCGTAGAGGAATACGGTAAGTCGGGGAACTAACAGGTTAGCGTTCTGGGAGTAGCCTTATATCAAAATCAGCAAAAGCAAAGGGGCGGATAACTTATTAATTTTGGGATCACGGGTAGATGAGCTAATAATTTCAGCAGCTTGCTACCTTGATCACATTCTATATGTTTTAAATCTATATGTTGTAATTATCCCTATTGTTATGTCCCTCTGTTCACTGTCCAAGGCGCTCTGGTGACAGAGTGTGTTGCCCATTGGGCTGCTAACCACAAGGTCAGCAGTTTGAAACCACGGGCCAGTCCATGGGAGAAAGATCAGGCTTCCTATTCCCCAAAAGAGTTACAGTCTCAGAACCTAGTTCTACCCTGTCATGTAGGCTGACGATGAGTCAGAATCGACTAATAGCCAAGTGCTCCTATTCTTCATCCATTTCCCTGTCCATTCTTCCCAGTGTTGCCTAAGTTTGAGGTGGAAGTTGTGGAACCCAAGCAGTTATCGGTGGAGAAAGAATCTTTCTTGGTTAAAATCTGTTGTAGGTAAGAGCAGAAGTTCTGAAGCTGGTGGAAAGTAAAGCCGCTTTGAGGGATGGTTGGGGAATGTTATGGGGAAAGGGACTATAGGGGTAGGAGTTCAAACTTGGGATCTTTTATGTAGCTTGGGCTCATGACTTATCCATGGAGGCATGTTTTAGTTGTGTTTCTGTGGCTACTTTCCATCGTTCACGCTTTGATTTAGTACACACTAAATTCTAAGTCCTGTGGAGAAATGACATGACTTACATGGAGCCCTGGTGCACAGTGGCTACAGCGCCCAACGGCTAACCAGAAGATCGGTGACTAGAACCTGCCAACGGCTCTTCAGGACAGAGATGAGGCAGTCTGCTTCTGTAGAGATTGATAGTCTTGGGGACTCTCTGGGGCAATTTGACATTACCCCAAGGTTTCGTGTAAGTTGGAATCGACAAGATGGCCGTGGGTTTCAGTGTAGTGGGTTTTAGTGTATCAGAAGAATAAGGATGCTGCACCTGCCCTTGGGGTGGAGCTTACTGTGTCATAGTGTCCTGGCAATCCTCAAGGGCTCTGGATAAGACTGGCCGCCTGTGGGGTTGTCAGAGCACTTTCAAAGGTTGGGGTTTTAGGGAAGAGGGGAAAATGGTATGTTAGGGAAGGAGGGTTGGATTGCAAGCGGAATCTCTCAACTTGTGCTTTTCTGAGTTAGGTACACCTATGGAAAGCCCATGTTAGGGGCAGTGCAGGTTTCCGTATGTCAGAAAGCACACATCTACTGGTATCGCAAGCCAGAGGAGGAGCAGCTGCAGGACAGATGCAAGAAACTCTCCGGACAGGTGAGTGTGTGAGAGGGAGAAAAGGAAGCTCTTGACATGTCTCCAGAGGAAGCCGGGCCCACAGAGGAACAGAGTTTCTCAGGATTATGATCCTGCACCAAAGAGCATAGCAGTCCCTCTTCCTTAACAGATGGCATCTTCCAGAATTTGTTTTGGAATCAAGACACTAACCTGAACGAACAAGTTTCCTAGCTCTGGAGGGGGTGCTCTCCCCCTTCACAGAGCCTGCAGCCTCAGAGTCCTTTCTGGATTACATGGAAACATTTGCCTGTCTCTGGGAATGTACACAAGGTCACACTGTGCAGTGCAGACTGTTAACACTCAACCACGAACCGAAAGGTTGGTGGTTCAAACCCACCTTAGCAGAGCTGAGGGAAAAAGACCAGCTGATCTCCTTCCATTAAGGTTCTAATGCAGAAAACCTCAGGGTGTTGCCACGAGTCAGGATTGACCCCTTAGCAATGGGTCAATAGGGACTTGGGTTCACCCCTGTTTAGAATATGAGAGTTATTTTCATTTTAAAGATATGGAGATAAACCAGTATTTCCTTCTGAGGTCCATCATGAGGTGGAAATAGAGATAAAGTCATGCATCTTTCTCTCTGATTGCTTCTCCAGACTGACAAAGCAGGATGTCTCTCAGCCTCTGTGGACATGTCCACCTTCAACCTCACTGGCTACGCGTACAGCCATAGCATCAATATCGTGGCCACTGTAGTGGAGGAAGGGACAGGTAAGTTGGGCACTCTTTAATTCATTAACAAAAGAGACAGAAGGACTAGCCAGTCAGTGTGCAGTATGGCACTGACGAAACACACAATATTCCTCTAGTAACTAGAGTCTAGTTCTTTAATGCTTCCTACCCACCCACCCCCATTATCATGACCCCAGTTCTACCTTACAAATCCAGCTAGACCAGAGCATGTACACAGGTATTGATAAGAGCTCTCAACACACAGAATCCAGGACAGGAACAGAAATTGGAGTAGCGATACCATGAGGGTAGGTGGAAAGTGGAGGGAGAAGGGGAGAAAGGGGAACCTATCGCAATGATTGACATATAAACAACACCCCCCCCACCCGCCAGAGGGATGAACAACAGAAACAGCAGATGGTGTAAGATGTGAAAATAATAATAATTTATAATTTGTCAAGGGGTCATGAGGGTGGAATGGTTGGGGGGAGGGAGCAAAAAAAAAAAAAAGAGGAGCTGATACCAAGGCTTCAAGTAGAAAGAAAATGTTTTGAAAATGATCATGGCAACATATGTACAAATGTGCTTGGTACAATGGATGCATGGCATGGATTGTTCTAAGAAGCTATAAGAACCCCCAATAAAATATTTTATAGAAAGAAAGAAAACAGATAGCTGTTCTGGGGACAGACTTACTCAGAGGACACCGGAGTGTTTGAGAGTGGCCTGTTCCTAGTTTACAGTCCAAGGCAAATGCCAGCTTTGACTTTGCCACCCACTCACTGCCTGTTTCCCTCATAGTTTGGGGAGGAGAAGTCGGTCTGCTGCTTTAGCCCAAAATCTATTCCATTTTCATCGCCGCAGAGGCACCATCCTCCCAGGGCTTTTACCGTAAATGTGCAGATGAAGATATGTTTAGATCATCATTCATTTGGTTTTCCTTCACAGGAGTGGAAGCCAATACCACACAGGAAGTCTGGATTTCGTCTCAAATAGGATCGATGACCTTTGAAGACACCAACGCCTTTTATTACCCCAACTTCCCCTTCAGCGGGAAGGTATGTTGAAACGTGCCTCGGCACATGAAAACATGCTCAGCCACTTGCTTTTGGACCTTCTTCCTGTAGCTGCATCCCAATAGCTTGTTTATTGCCGGGCCTTTTGTTTTCCTAAGTGTTTTGCATATGTGCATTTATTTCCCCTTCACAATAGCTCTGTAAGGCAGGCACTATTATTGGCCAATTTTACAGAGGAGGCGGAGTCTGAGACCGAGAGAGGTGACGCGTGATTTTCCCAACTTATAACTGGTAACTGCGGTCAAAGCCAGCAGCCAGAGTATACTTTCTTGATTCTGTGCCCTTGCTAATGCCAGCAGTTCATCTTCTAACGACCAAATCTTTGAACTTAGAGCTGTAAGGGCTTTGAATGGAGGAAGCTCTGATACCCCAGTTGTTAAACATTTGGCTGCTAACGGAATGGCAGTGGCTCAAACCTTCCCCAAACTTCAAAGGGAAACAGCTGGGACAGCCCTGGGAGCCCCACGGGGCAGTTCTGCCCTGCCCTTGCAGCACCGCCGCCGTGAGCTGGAGTTGATCCCTGGCAACAGGTTTGGTGTTTGGTTTACAGCTTCTGAAGAGAGCTTGTCAGGGCTCCCGAATCCAAGCAAGGTTATGATCAAACTTTTTGGCTAGAAAGCCATTTCTAGCTTCTTAAGCTGACCTGTCACAAGGATACCTGTGTTTTCATGCCTGAATGTTGCTGACTGGGCGTGAAGTATTTCGTGTTTGCACCCCCATTAGTCTATGCAGTCTGTGAATCTGAAAGTGATGCAGGCCTTGATGGGAGCTGGATGGTCAGCAATGTGCTAAGCATTTACTTTAAAGCTTTTAGAATTTTCTCCCTCCGCCTCCCCACCCCTAATGTGACAATCATCTAATCAAATATTATACATATATATTTAGAAGAATATTATATATATATGTATATATATATATATATATATGCTACATTACTCTCTAGTCATCTGTTCTGTAGGGTTAGAGTAGATCCAGATATTTCCTAGAGTCTGGAGGTTAAGGAGGGCTCCTTTTTGAAGAGAGAGAGTCAAAAGAATGGATAGAGCGTTGGAAGGTGCCCGTGCAAGTGGAGGCCCCACAGACTGAATGACATGAGCGGTGACAAATCTACCCCTGCTCCGTGCTAAGGGACTTCTGCTGGGTGTGAGTTTTGCACAGATCCTACTTTCTCCCCTTTCAATATCACTGATCTTTCCTGAAATGCATCCTTAAGAGTTTCACCCCACTTTACCTCATCGCACTTGTGCCTACTCCAAAGGTAACTCTCCTGGCCTAAAGATCTGTTTCCTCCCTACCCGCCTCTGCCAGATAAGAGTTATGGATGCGGATGGCACCCTCCTCAGGAAGCATTCCGTGTTTCTGGTGATTTATGGCATCAATGAAACCACCAACCACACCCTCATTACGGACAACCAGGGCCTGGCTCACTTCCAGCTGGACACAGCCCGTTGGAATGGGACAGACGTTTCTCTGGAGGTAAGCACGAGGAGGGCCCAGCTTCCCAGCGAGGGAGGCTTTCCTGAAGTCAAACGCTAAAATTCTCCCCTTTCCTATTGCCCCTCTCCTCTAAATCCCATCCTTCTCACTCCTTGACAAAATGTTATTTTTTAAGATGTTCTGTTTTGAATCTAAACCAAATAGATATCCTATCGGCATCACTGTTTCCACGAATTCAGTTTGACGTGGATCCCCATCACCATCTGGTCCCGTAGATGAGCTCAGACTGCTGCTGGGGTAGCTGCCGTCGAATTGGCCCCTGACTCATGGGAAATCAAAGTAGAGAGGGAAAGACTGCTCAGTCAAGTCTCCCTCCTGGTCCCCTATCCCCTCTGCCCATGACCCATAAAAAGGCCAGGCGAGATGATCTAGAGTGTAGATAACTTATAAGCGGGACTACTTGTATCAATTAACAGTTGCCACAACAATGCTGCCTAAGACACAACTATAAAGTTTCAGTATTGTGTAATCCGCACCTGTTGCTCACACCTCTGGGATAGTCCGATAGGCAGCTCAGCAATCTTGGTGGGCTTCCTCACAGGTCATGGGTCAGCTAGCTAGAAGCTGGTCATCCACATGTCTCTCAAGCTTCAGCAATAGAGCTCGGGCATCTTCTCATGGCAATGACAGAGGTGCACATTGGAGTGTGTACAAGGCTCCCGCTGTGTTTCATAAGCTAGCATCCCCGTCCCAGGGACAAGTCACATGGCTGGGCCCAGAGTCCGACGGTGAAGGCACCACACAAGGTTATATGGCTAAGAGGGTTGACACAGGAAAACACGGAAGGCTCGAGTCATTAATGCACCCATTCAACCACACCACTTAAACCATTATTTGTTCTGTGGCTAATTTGACAACTTCTGTACACATCACACAGTCACTTTGCTCAGAAAGAATTATTTTTCAATCTCATTGGCTTCTATATCTAGTTGTTTTTTATTGCTGTTGTTGTTGTTGTCCTGAGATATAATCTTGAAATTCTGTGTAATCGTACTCATGCTTATCTATCTAAGGAGATAGACATACAATCCATAATGGCTTAGTGAAAATAAAGACCTAAATTCCATTCCGCAACATACCAAAATGCTGGGGCACACCCCACTGTCATGGATAGCGCCTCGAATCCTTGACTGGACTATTAGTGAACTATCCACACCCGTGGGCTTAATATGGTTGGAAGTACATACTGAAAGACCCACTGCCACCCCAATCTTTCTCTACCTTTCAGGGCAGGTTCCAAATGGAAGACATGGTATATGATCCTGAACAAGTGCCTCGCTACTATCAAAACGCATACCTGCATCTTCAACCCTTCTACAACACAACACGCAGCTTCCTGGGCATCCACCGGCTGGAGGGCATGTTGAAATGTGGCCAGCCCCAGAAAGTGCTAGTGGATTATTACATTGATCCAGCTGATGCCAGCCCTGACCAAGAAATCGCCTTCACCTACTATGTAAGCCTGGGAACTAGGGGTTGGTGAAAATGTGTGGTGAAGGAAAGTGAATGATTGAGTCCACCAGAGAGAGGGGATAGACTGTCTAGGGAAAGATGAAATGTGAGCCACATATGTCATTTCAAAAGTTCGAATAGCTACATTTAAGGAATTAAAATAAATAGTTACAATTAAAAAAACAAAAAATAAAAATGAAAATAAATAAAATAAATAGTTACAAATGATTTTAATAACATACAAGTATGCCTTGCCTAATCAATTTATGTTTGGGCAAATTCCAACTGCATATATGCCTGTGGTCATATGGTTATTTGGGGTTTTGGTGCTTATTTCTTTCTTATGGTTTTAAAGATTCATATGGTTTTAAAGACTCAAAAGCCAGACTCTAGCACTAGATCATGGGTTTTGGGTTGTTGTTTTCTAAAGTCCTGAGATGTAATCTTAAAATTCTGTGTAATTCTGGCAGGTGAGGCAGAGGACATGGCTCAGGGCTTTGTCCTGCAGGCAGGCTGGTGCAACAGTGGGTGGGGACTGAGCTTATTCCCCTCACTCCCTGCTAGCTTCCTTTGGCTTCACTCCCTTAGCCACCCACTCAGTCACCACCCAATAATGCTACCAGTTTCTCCAGCCCCCACAAGTAGCTATACCACCAGCAGCAGAGGCACCAGCAGCATTGATAGGAACAACACTGAAGGAGGGCTATCATTACATTTTAATATAGTGCCCATGCAACATCTGAATCACATAACATCCTACTTCACAGAATAGATCTTGGATATTAATCAATGCACACGGGACGTTTATTTAACCCAGTATGCCAAAATATTATTTCACCACATAATTGTAGTTAAATTATTGATGCCCACAAGCTCACTGCTTCTGAGTTAATTTTGACCCACCCCAACCCTAGAAGACAGATTAATGCTGCCCATCGGGTTTCCAAGGCTGAGAATCTTTATGCAAGCCGACGGTTCCCTTTCTCCCTTGAAGAGTCTTGGGGGCTCAAACTGTTGACCTTTTCATTAGCAGCCCAAATCTTAACACGGAGACCCCTAAAAAGTTATTCATGAACACTGGATTCTTTGTTCAACGACAACTTTGAAATGTAGTGTGTGTACATTTACAGCCCCCTCAGTTTGGACCATCTTCAGGTTTCGTTGTTATAAAGCATTTATTGTAAGAATGGATTGGCTCCATTGTGGTAAAGTTAGCCCAAATTTACATTAAGCAAAAGCATCGACAGTAATTTTTGGGTTAGTTTTTAATACATTTAAATACATTGACATATAAACAAAACTCCCTCAAGACTTAGAAACTGAGCGCCTTTCCCTCCTCTTTAGCAACAATATCTCACTGAGTTAAGGAAAGGAAACCAGCTCCTTTCACCACGGCATGCACACAGACAATGGAGACTTAAAAAATATATGTATGGGACAGATGGAATATGTGCGTCATCTGTTTCGGGTTCTCAATTGTGTGACGGGTGACCACTTTACTTCATAGTACAGATCTGGAGGCTGGAAAACTTTAGGATGAGAAAAGAGATTTTAAGCAAGAGCCCAGGTCCGGACATCGTGTGAGAAAATAAGGCCAGGAATTTCTAAGGCAGGAAAGGGCTGCTGGCCGGGATCCAAAAAGGGGGCAGAGAAGAGAAGAAAGGAGCCGGCTTGGAACTTGGGGTACTTTTCATTCTATTGTGTTAAAAATTAACACGGATAGCAATTGTGTTATGGGAAATATAAAGTCACACGTTTTCATCTGAAAGAAATGTATAAAGATTAGAAGCTTCGATGAAACGAGGGATTTAAAGACAAACAAATTTAATGTACTGTGGGCTTGCAGAAGATTGAACAAGTCTGTCTTGAAAGAGAGCTAGTGAGATTCTTTTGAGACGTCAGGATGCTGAGGCTCCAACTGACTTAGTTTGGGCGTGTTATCACAAGAGACAAGTCTCGGATACAGTAGAAGGTCAGTGGGGGGAATAGGAAGCCCCTTAATGAGATAAACTGATTGCGTGGCTGGAAGAGTGGGCCCCAGCATGAGACCAATTGTGAAGACGATGCGGGACTGAACAGTGTGTCATTCTGGAAATGACTGGAGAGCATTGAGCAGCATCAGACCCCCAGGCTTCATGGTCCTTTAATCCTTTATCAGCGTCTCAGTCTCTGAGTGACTTTCAGCTCCCTGGATCATCCCACAGTCTTAAATCACTAGGATCACCAAACCAAGACAATCATCCTAGTGCAACACAGGAGAAGGGTGGGCTATATCCTGGATGGGAAATAGTGCTCGGTTAGCAAGGAACGTCACCAGCGAACTAGGAGAAAGTGACATTGGGGCTGTGCAGGGAGGAAGGCCGGGTGTATTCCTGGAACCAAAGACCCAACCGCGGAACTGCTATAAGAGTCTGAGAGGACAGCCCGCCTGGGTTCAATTTCAATGAATCAGGTTTCAAGGTAGAGAAGAAATCTATCAAATAAACTTCCCCTGGACGATCAAGAGGTGGTGAATGTCTCCGAGACAGTGTGAGGTTTACTCATTCCCACTGAACTGTGAATTGAAAGGTCGTAATAAAAGGTCACGAAGACAGGTTTTATCTGACTCTGCAGTAGGAGGATTACGAGAAGGAACCCAATTCAGAAAGCTTCTTTCCCTGAAGATTTTCTCTTGGGCATGTCCAAGGAAGAGCCATCCGGGCCTGTAGGCACCATCTTGTATTTGGCAAGCTAAGGGATCCTTGGTGAAGTGTGAGCCAGGCTTTAGAATATGAATGAAGTCTCTTTCTCCCGCAGGAGGCAGGTGAAAATCCAGTAACTCCTGTACTGATTAGTTTCATCTCTTCCTCAGTTAATAGGAAAAGGGAATTTGGAGATGGAGGGGCAGAAACAAGTGAGCGCTAAAAAAGGTGAGTGCTTAGGCCTATCCTGGAAGAAGGCATTTTTGGGGGTTATTATTGTAAAAATACATGTCACACAATATGTGTCAATGTAATAAGTTTTGTAAATTTCAATTTTTTATTGAGATGTTTTGGGAATAAGCAAACAAACAAACACTCACTGCTATTGAGTCAATGCCGATTCAAAGCGACCTCCTGTGGTTTCCAAGACTGAAACTGGTTATGGGGATAGAAAGCCCTGTCTTTCTCCTGCGCAGGGGCTGGTGGTTGGGAACCAAGCAGATGGCAGATCGAGGTATAACTCTGAACCACTAGGGCTCCTTGTTTTGAGAATATACACAGACAGCAAAACAAATACCAACTCCACAGTCGCTACGTGTACACTTCAGTGGAAATGATCATATTTTCAAGTTGTGCAACCATTTTCACCCTCCTTTTCTGAACTGTTCCTCCCTGACATGTTCAGACAAACTCACTGTCCCCTAAGCTTCCTGTCTAATCTCTGGAGTTCCTGTTGTCAGTCTGATTCCATGTAGATTCTCCTTAAAAGAGCATTATGCTGAAGACATTCTAGGTGAGTTAACCCACACTCTTCCTTGTGTTTTAGAAGACTGGGGGGAATATTTTTGGCTTAAGTTTTAAAGATTATCTTAGGGCAGTAGCATCAGGGGTCCACCTACCCTCCATGGTTCTAGGGAGTCAATGAGAATTTGAAAGGCTGATCTGCTTCCCCACCTCCAGGTAAGGATTCATCCAGAAGATCTTTGATCCGAGTGTTCATTAGTGGTAGCTAGGCACCCTTCAGTTCTTCTGGTCTCACAGCACTGGAGGCAATTGTTGATGAGGCAATTAGTCACATATTCCATTTCCTCCTCCTTTTCCTGACTCACCTTTCCCCCCCTGTTCTTCTGGGTAAATAGAGACCAATTGTTGTGCCTTAGAGGGTCGCTCCCACACGCACTACACAATGAATTAAAACACACTCCTAAGGCTCAGTTAAACTAGCATGTCTCATGAAATCATGACCCTAAATCTCCACACCGAGGAACGAAAACACCCATGAGGTATTTGGTTGGACAGAAATAACTTTAACAGTTTTTTTGGCTTTGCAGTGCATATATTTATCGCACAACTTTTTTTTATGAACTTCTTTTTAAAAATCACTTTATTGGGGGCTCTTACAGATATTATAACAATCCATAAATCAATTATATCAAGCAAACTTGTACATGTTTCCATCGTCATTTTCAAAACATATCTTTCTACATGAACCTTTATTATGATCTCCTCTTTTATCTGTCCCTTCCCCATCCACCCACCCTCATGAATTCTTGATAAATTATATATATATATTTTTTCATATCTTTTTTTTAAAACATTTTTTTTTAATTTATTTTTATTTTTATTTTTTTAAAACATTTTATTAGGGGCTCATACAACTGTTATCGCAATCCATACACACATCAATTGTGTAAAGCGCATTTGTACATCATTCTCAAAACATTTTCTCTCCACTTAAACCCCCGGCATTAGGTCCTCATTTTTCCCCTCCCTCCCTGCTCCCCACTCCCTCATGAGCCCTTGATAGTTTATAAATTGTTATTTTGTCATATCTTGCCCTGTCCGACGTCTCCCTTCACCCACTTTTCGGTTGTCCGTCCCCCAGAGAGGAGGTCACATATAGTTCCTTGTAATCGGTTCCCTCTTTCCTACCCATTCTCCCTTTACCCTCCCTGTTTCGCCACTCACACCACTGGTCCTGTAGGGCTCATCCGCCCTGGATTCCCTGTATTTTCAGTTCCTATCTGTACCAGTGTACATCCTCTGGTCTAGCCAGACTTGCAAGGTCGAATTCGAGTCATGGTAGTGGGAGTGGGGAGGAAACATTTAGGAAGTAGAGGAAAGTTGTATTTTTCATCGTTGTTACATCACACCCTGACTGGCTCAACTCCTCCCCGAGACCCCTCTGCAAGGGGATCTCCAGTGGCCTACTAATGGGCTTTGGGTCTCCACTCCGCACTCCCCCCATCATTCACTATGGTAAGATTTTTTTGTTCTGATGATGCCTTATACCTGATCCCTTCGACACCTCGTGGTTGCATAGGCTGGTGTTTATCGCACAACTTTTGCCAATTTAACTTTTTACATGTGTATAACTTTTTGACAGTTATCACAATCATTAGCCATGAAACCTTACATTTAATTGATGAGATTTCCCCATCGCCATTATTCCTCCTCCTCCCCCTTCCTCCCATTCTTGGTAACCACTAGTAAACTTTTATCTCTATCCAGTTTCCTTTTCTTATTTTTGGTCTTTTTGTATAAGTGAGGCCTGACCATATTTAGGCTTTGGGATTGACTTGCTTCACTAAACATGAGCTCTTCAAGCTTCCATCCATATGGTAGCATGTATCAAGGCTTCCTTTCTACTGGCTGAGTATTATTCCATTGTGTCTATGTCTCATACTTCGTTTATTCATCTATCCGTTGATGAGCATTTAGGTTGTTTCTACCTTTGGGCTATTGTAAATGCTGCTGCAACAAACATTGTACAAGTCTCTGAGTGTTAGCTTTCAAGGTTTTTGAGTATATAACTAGGAGTGGAATTGCTGGATCGTAAGGTAGTTACTTTTCTACTTGGTGTTATTGGGGTTTTTTTTAGCAACTTTTTCTACAGAGGCGTTACCGTTTTACATTCCCATCGGGAGTGGGTAAGATTTCCAATTTCCTCATCTCCTCATCAACAGAGGCCTAATGACTTAGGCAATGGGCTACTAATTGCAAGTCGACTAATTCAAACCCACCTGTTGTTCCACAGGAAAAAGTTGAGGCTTTCGGCTCTGATGAAGATTTATAGTCTTGGAAACCTTATATAGGATCACTATGAGTCGAAATGTACTCATTAGCAGTGGGTTTGGTTTTGGGGTTTCACCAATCTTTGTTAATTTGCTGATGTCTTATCTATTGGGAGTGGAACCGTGTCTCATTGTGGTTTTGATTTGTATCTCTCTGATGAGTAATGATGCTATTTGAATGTCCTCTTTAATGCAGTGTCTATTCGAGTTTTTCCTGCTTTATCATTGGGTGATTTTTTGTTGTTGTTGTTAAATTGTCAAAGCTCTCTCTATATATACACACGGAGCTGTTAGAGTGTTGTCAGATATATGGTTTCTGAAGATATGCTCTGAGTTAGCGGGTTTTCACTTTTGAGATAAACCCTTTTGATGAAAAAAATTTTAATTTTATTAAGTCTCATTTATTATTTTGTCTTTTGCTGTTTATGCTTTTATTACTATATTACATAATCCACTATTGAAAACTATTTCTAACATCATTGCTCCTGGTTGTTCTTCTAAGTATTTTATAGTTTTAGTTTGCATATTTAGGCCTGCAATCAAATTTGAATTTGCTTTGTATATGATGTGAGACAAGAATCCCGTTTCATTTTTCAGTATATGAAAATCCAATTTTCCCAACATCAATTATTTATTTACTTAGTTTACTTAACATTTTATGGGGAGCTCTTACATATATAATTGCAATCCATAGGTTCATTAGATCAAATATAGTTGTACAATTGCTGCCATCATCATTTTCAATACATTTTCTGTCTTCTTGAACACCTTGATATGAGCTCCCCTTTATCCAATCCCTCCCCCACACTACCATCCCCCTGAACCTTTAATAAATTATTATTATTATGGAGTTGTTCAGGGTTTTTTGTTTGTTTTTTGCCACCTTACACCTTCCAATGTATCCGTTCATCTAAAATTCTGATGTTTGTTCCCCTCAAGTGGGGTTATGCAGTCATCGTTGCTATCAGTTCCCCCTTCTTCATTCTCTTCCCATACCTGCAGGGAATCATTACTCCCATTACTGTTTCTGAGGGGTTTAGTTATCTTGGATTTCACCCAGCACCATTTATTGAAGAGATTCTTCTTTCTCACTGAATATATATCCTTGTCAAAACTCAGCTGGCCATATCTCTGGATTCTCCATCTTATTCCATTGATCTATGTATCTGTTTTTATATCCCTGCCAGGTTGTTTTGATTACTGTAACTGTATGATCCACTATTCACTGCTGTGAAGTAGATTCCAATTCATTGTGACCTTGTAGGAGACATAGAACTGCTCAATAGGGTTTCCAGAACTGTAAAAATACATAGGGAGCAAATATATATATACAGAGAGTTTCATCTTTCTATTACAGAATGGCTAGTGGATTTGAACCATTGACCTGGTGGTTAGCAGAACAATACTTAACCAAGTACCCCACTAGAGCTCCTTTTCGTAGTTGTGCAGTGTGCTTTAAAATCAGGAAGTGTGAGCTTTCTACTCTGTTCTTCTCTTTCATCTTGGTTTAGCTATTCAGGGGTCTCTATCCAGGGACCTCTATTTCCATATAAAAGGCTGTTGAAATTTTAAGCAGGAATAACATTGAATCTATAGACAACTTTGGGTTATGTTGACTTCTTAACACTATTAAGTCTTCCAATATATGAACATAGAACATCTTTCTGTTAATTTAAATGTCCTTTAATCTCCTTCAATAATGTTTTTGTTTTCATTGTATAAATCAATTTAATGCTTTTGATGCATACAATTTAATGACATTAAATATTATGCAATGATCAGCAGTATCCATTGCCAAATTCCCATCACCATAAAGTGATACGCAGTGCTGCCTAAATAATAATTCCAAGAAAGGTATAATTAATATTCCAGAAAATAGTTATTTTACTAGAAGCAGTTGGTACAGAACATTAACAATAATGATAGGAGATGAGGAAAATGAGAAGTAGCAAATGGTTGACTTGCTGAAAAGTGCAGTCATATGGGTAGAGATGATCTGGGGGTGAGAATGCGCCCTCATTCCTTTGTGTCCCTTCTTCCATTCCAGGACCCAAAGGCTCCTTCTCTCTCTCACTGATCTTCACGTCCAGACTAGCCCCCGACCCTTCGCTAGTCATCTATGCCATTTTCCCCAGCGGAGGAATCATAGCTGACAAAATTCAGTTCTCGGTGGAGATGTGCTTTGACAATCAGGTAAACTGGCCTTGTAGGGGAGTGCAGAAAAGACTTGGGCACAAAGAAGTACCTTGTGTGTGGTGGGGTTGAGACAATACAAGGGCAAGGAAATAAGATACTATTGAAGCTGTGATGTTGTATTTATTTCTTTAGACTGCTTGGTTGGAATTGTTTTCCCATTTGCTTCTCCTTTAAACATAATCATTCTGGGATATCACATGCTCCCTGTAGTTAGTCCACATGGTCTTTTTTTTACCCTATTACTTAACATCTAAAATTTCTATATTGTTCTACTGTGTTTATTTTCTCTACTCTATCAAAAGACACCAGTCCTGAAGAGCTAAAGTTTACCCACAAACACCGGAGTGAAGGGGGGGGTGTTTGAGACCATCACTGGCTGATGATCTCAATCATATTACTTACCATCTCTCCAGCTAACCCAATCACCAACTGAAAACCATTTCTTCCCCAGGTTTCCCTTGGCTTCTCACCTGTCCAGCAGCTCCCGGGAGCAGATGTGGAACTAGAGTTGGAGGCAGCTCCTGGGTCCTTGTGTGCTGTTCGGGCTGTAGATAAAAGTGTCTCCCTCCTCCGACCAGAGAGAGAGCTGAGCAATAGCTCTGTGGGTAATCTGCAGCTGGGGTGACAGGATGGACAGAAGAGACCGTTAGACTGCAGGCAAAATGGAAAGCGGAGCCCAGGAAGCAGGAGGGAAAGTCTAGGGAAATGGTGGGCAAAGTGCTGGTGTGGAAATCCAGATAGAAATGATATGAGTGGTACACAGTTAGTATGGTGGTGGAGATCAGGAAAGAGAATGAAATCTGGAATAAGGATGATGGATTATGGGGAAAAGTGAGATAGGCATGAACATTTTTAGGGTGGGAAAAATGGCTTTGGTAAAATAAATATGGAAGAATTTAGAGTAATGACGACCAATAATACAGAAGTAGTGAACTGTAGCACCAGCATCTGAAATGATTTTCTCAACTGATTTCACTTTATATCAAAACTCTAGTACCTTTCCCCTCTCATCTCAGGTCTATAGTCTGTTCCCGTTCTGGTACGGTTACTATCCTTATCAAGTGGCTGAATATGATGAGTGTCCAGCATCTGGCCCATGGGACTTACCTCAACCCCTCATTGACCCTGTGCCTGAGGGGCGCTCGAGCAGCCGTTCTGCCATCTGGAGGCCATGGTTCTCTGGAGGTGCTGACCTTTTCCGCTTTTTCCAGGTAAATGCTTACCCATTTTGTTCTTAAAGAAACATCAGTGGTGGTAGGAGGCAAGGAAAGCCCATATCCAGGGAAGTAGAGACCCCTGTGGGCACTGATGGGGACACACCCAAAAAGAAGCTCTGACCTGTAAAGTATCCTCTCTTGATCCTTATTCTTGAAAAAGCTGCCCAATTACCTTGGAGAGCAAAGCCTTGTAAGACACTATAAACCTAGTCTCCCCCTTCTGCCCTTTCTCTGTGATCTCCAACCTATGTCAGTGATCCCATAAAATAAGAGAAGGTAGATAAGGGGTCTCTTGTTTTCAAAAAAGTATTTTACACTTATTTTATGAGCAGAGGTTTGGGATGCTCTGTGGCCGGGGTCTTTACCAGGAGGGTTATGAGGTCAAGGATTGTGTCTCGTTCATCCTTCGCCTCTCCCTAATGCTCCCTATGTTTTTGTTGCACTGAGTAAGCTAATATGATTCATCATCCAAGTTCAGAGTCAGCCAAATAATAAGGACATGAAGGTAGAATGTGGGAGCAATTTGTGGAAGAAAATTTAAATGTATTTAACTTTCATTGAAAACCTTGCACGCTAGCTACAAGTGAACAACGCATCTTGGGGACGGAACACTGGCTAGTAAATTCTAGTTTTATCATTAATAATAAAAGAAGAAGAAAAAAAGAGTGTTTGGGGTCAACCCTTCTATGGTGGAATTACTGGTAGTAGTATTTGTATTAGTGGTGGGATACCAACTAACACTGTAATCTCTGGTCTCTTTGGTGCCTGTCAGAGCGTGGGCCTGAAAATCCTGTCCAATTCCAAGATCAAGAAGCCAGTAGTTTGTAATCACTGGTCTCCCAAATACGGCACTGCAAGTGGTGGAGGTAAGCTCCTATGATCGATGGTTCATAGATTGACTAAAGTGTTAAGTCACTGAACTCTGAAAGTTCCCTTGTTGCCTCCTGTTTTTCCATTGACAATTCTAACATTAAAATGATCATAGATTGTGAGTCCTACGGGTCTTCTCTCTCTGCAGAGGACTTTGAAGTTTCAAGACCTTACCTACTCATCCCCTAGTCAAACCTCCTTCTCTGTCATTTCCCTTGATGGCCTCTGTGATTACTTAATAAGAATTCTTGGTGCTGTAGTGGGTTACAAGTCGGGTTGCAAACCACAAGGTCAGCAGTTTGAAACCACCAGCTGCTCCTCGGGTGAAAGATGAGGCTTTTTTCTCCTGTAAAGAGTTTAGAGTCTTGGAAACCCCCAGGGGCTGTTCTATCCTGTCCTATAAGGGCACGATGAGCCAGAATGGACTTGATGGCAGTGAGGTCAGTTATTTGAGTTTCTCAGCAGTCCAATCACATGTTCTCTGCTTCCTCTGAATTTCTGGCTAGCAGTCCCTCTACCTCTCAAACAAAAAACACCTGCCTTCCAAAATACTTTCGTTCTTGATCTCCACAGGAAGTAATGACATTTCTAGAGAGGCTTTTCCATCTTCGTCAGTTCAACCAGGAGATTCTCAGGTCCGCCAGTACTTCCCCGAGACCTGGCTCTGGGACCTCTTTCCTATTGGGTAAGTGATGTCTCAATAACTATACAGCAAGCTTATACTCAATGGAGTCAGCAGAGAATCCCCAGACAAATAAGTTCTAATGAATCCAAGTTAGAAATGTAAACAGAGGTATGGGAATGTGGTTCTTTCCCGGAGTGTTTATACAATTATATTTAACCATTCAAAGAAAATCCACATTGCGCACCCAATAAGGTGGCTATAGTAGCCTCGGTGGTGTAGTGGGGGACACTTTGGGCTGCTAATACACTTTGGGCTCCCTCTCTGAGGGAGAAAGATGATCCTTTCTACTTCCATAAAAATGTAGTCTGGAAACCCACAGGGGCAGCTCTGCTCTGATCTGCATGGGATTGACTCGACAGCAGTGAGTAACTTAGCGAAGAGAGCTGTAATTGAGAAGAAACAAAACAGGTGTTGGCGAGTGTGAAGAGACCTAAAACTCCATCCACTGCCGGCGGGAGTAGAACGGTGTGACCACTGTGGAAACCGTTTGCCAGTTCCTCAAAAAGTTAAACACGGAATTGCCATATCCACCAACAATTTCTTCCAGGTATATACACAGAAGAATTGAAAGCAAGAATGCAGATAGAGACTTAGACATCAGTGTTCATGACAACATTATTTTCAACCAAAAGGTGGCAACAGCCCAAATGTCCAACGACACATGAGTGAATAAATAAAATGTGGCACATATGTACCGGGTGATACTACTTAGGCATAAAGAAAACGAAATCCTGAAACATGCTCCCACACAAATGTGCCCTGAAAACATAATGCTAGGTCAGAGAAACCAGTCATGAAATGGCAACTTCTATATGATTCTACTTATATAGAATATCTAGAATAGGAAAGTGTATAGAGACCAAAGCTTATCGATGGTTAGCAGGAGCAGGAAGAAGGGAACAGAGAAATTCATTGCCTAGGGGACAGTGAACTTCTATTAAGAGCAACGAAAAATTTTGGAAATAGTGTGATGCTTAAGCAACATGATGCATGAACTTAATGCCATTGAATTGTACCTGTAAAAAATGTTTGATTGGCAAATTATTGTTTTATATACGAGGGGGTACCCCACCCCACACTCCACCCCATACCTCCCAAAAAACAAAATTGTGCTGGATGGAGTGGAGCTTTCGGTGCATGTATTTTTCCTGCTAGGTGAGCACCGAGCCACTTGCACTGAGTTAGTGAACCCAGTGGCATCACCTGGGATTGTTCTCTCTAGTCACAGTGAATTTTTTTGTAAAAGCATTTTCGCTCAAACCTCATTTTTTGTGATGGCTGATTTAAGAAAACTGTGCAGCTATGAAATTTTGTTTCCTGCTGGGGAAAAAATGCCATAGAAACTGTTCTGATGTTGAACACAGCTTATAAGGACAGCGCTATGGGAAAAACTCAAGTGTACGAGTGGTTTTCTCATTTCAAAAAAAGATGAAATGCTGATTGATGACAAACCTCGTTCTGGATGTCTGTCAACTTCCTGAACAGATGAAAATGTTGATTTGTAGTGCATTTGGAGTTCATTCCACTAGGTCAGACTGTGAATCAAGCTTTCTATTTAGAGGTTCTGAAATGATAGCGTAACTGTGGCAAAGTGGGGCCTGGTTTTGCCACCATGGCAATGTACCTGTTCACACAGCCATCTCAGTGCAGTTTGGGGCAAAAACCAGCATGTCTCTCTTGCCCCATGTACCTTACTCACCTGACCTCACTCCATGTAACTTTTTTGTTTCCATGAATGAAGTGGGATATGAAAGGATAGTGATTTGATGACACAGAAGAGGTGAAGAAAAAAATGAGGGAGGTGCTATCAGCCATCCAAAGAGATGAGTTTGAAAATGTTTCCAAGAACAGAATCACAGATTTGACAAATGTATTAAGTGTAATGGAGAATACTTTGAAGGTGATATGGTTATTTTGTTAAAAAAAAATTAAATACATAGCTTTGGGAAAAATTCCGTTTTTTGGGGGGAGAGGTACTCCTTTGTATATATAGAACAATTATCAACATATATACTCGTATAAAGCACATATCCACTCACATTAGTTCCTATCCAGTGCTTACAAATTCATTTTGAGAAGCCATAAGAGCACATCCTGAAAGATTTAGAGGGCAACAGCCTGGAGCCCATGGAGACCTGGCAGTGTGGTGGTTAAGGATTGAGCTGAGATACTAATGGTCAGCAGTTCAAAACCACCAGCAGCTCCGTGAGAGAAAGACTGGGCTTTGTACCCCAGGGAGCAGTTAGAGCTATGAGTCAGCATGGACTTGAAGGCAGTGAGGTGAGCCGCTAGTCCTCTAGTAGCAAAGCCGAGTACACACTGGGCTGCTAACCACAAGGTCACTCGTTGGAAACTAGGAGCTTCTGTGCAGGAGAAAGAGGAGGATTCTGCTCCTTGAAAGATGGACAGCCTCAGAACCCCAAAGGAGCGGTTCCAGTCTACCCTATAGTTCCCATGAGTCAAAGTTGACTCAATGTCATTGAGTGAAGCTCTCTTTCAGATAAGCATCCACACCCATCCACCCTTACTCCCTCACACATGTATACTGTCACCACCCCATTCTCCCATATTTATATGTCCTCACTCACCCCGAGATTCATGTCCTGAGCTTCACATGTTTCCTCAGTTTGGTCGTCTCTGCACTTTTTCCACATCACAAATTCACTTCTGAAAAAAGTCAGGCACAGAAGACAGATATCATATGGTCCTGCTTCCATGAAATTCCTCAAACAGGCCGTCTACAGTATATACACACCAAGTTTTATTAACAGTTACCAGGGGTGAGGGGAAAAGAGGGTAGAAAAAGGCATCAAGCCTAGGGGAGGGGATACTGCACTTCCCTTACGGGTGAGGTGAGGGGGCGAGGAGTGGTGAAGACCGAACCACATGGCGAACATAATGAATGTCGTGGAGCTGTACCTGTGAACGTTACAGCAATGGCAAATGTTTTGTTCCCCGTGTATTTGACACAGTAAAAAAGTGGGGAAATAATTTCTGCAGATGAATTCAGAGCATAATTCATGACTGTTCGTCCTGTCCTGCTTCCCCTCCACCTCACGCGGGTCCTTGTGTTCCACAGCAACTCTGGGAAGGAGGCTGTCCACGTCACAGTCCCTGACACCATCACAGAGTGGAAGGCCATGACATTTTGCACCTCCCAGGCCAGAGGCTTTGGTCTGTCACCCACGGTTGGACTAACCGCTTTCAAGCCCTTTTTTGTGGATCTGACCCTCCCTTACTCAGTCGTTCGTGGGGAATCCTTTCGTCTTACCGCCACCATCTTCAATTATTTAAAGGACTGCATCAGGGTGAGGACCGATGATCCAGGGCACAGGGGGCTGCATCAGAAGTAGAGGCCTCTGCCCTCATACGTTTAACTGGAAGCCTTCCAGTGTTCCCTGGGAAAGAGGAGATGGCATTGCCTCAGCTCCGAGTTTCTCTGAGCCTCTGGGTGCACTCATGTCTTTTATAGCAAACACTCCTTTCAGGTTCAGACCAAGCTGGCTGAGTCTGACGAGTACTATGGGGAATCCGGGGCGGACTCCAAGGCCTCGATCTGTCTCTGTGCTGATGAAGCAAAAATCTACCACTGGAACATCACAGCTGCCAAACTGGGTAAGAGAGGGAAGTGGTGGGCAGGCAGGGACAATCTAGAGAGAAACCCCAGTGGGCCTTCATGAGCTGGGGCCAACTGCATGGCTTCTGGCTTGACATTTCAGCAGAACTGTTCTAGAAGTGAGAGGACTTCACTGGCTGACGAGAGAGCTACTGAATTCCTTCCTTCTTCTCTCTTCCCAGGTTACATCAACTTTACAATTAGCACTGAAATTCTGGACAGCAGGGTACCCTGTGGAAACCAAAAGGGGTTTGTTCCCAAAAAGGGGCGCAGTGATACACTAATCAAGCCAGTTTTGGTCAAGGTAAGGTTTCTGAGGCCCAGCTTCAGAGGTAGAGCCAGCAACCGAGGCGGGATGCTCACTCTTTAACCGTACCAGTTAGTCTCTCCAATTCCAACCAGGAAACGTCAACTTTCTCCTTCTCTGACCTCTTACTGGCCTCGAACAATTTGCCTAACCCATGCTGAGTCCAGTGCCTGGCATATCACAAACTCTCACGCAATGTTAGTCACTGAAGGAGTGTGGATTTCTCTTATGAGAAGTTTTAACTCCCTCATTAGCTGCTTTCTTAAAAAAAAAATTATCATTGTCAACCCTTTGTCAATCATTCCTCTCTCGTGTTTGCTAATTTTGCCCTTGTTCAGAAGGCATTCTATTGAGAGGTCCACCTGATAGTAAAGTTCTGAGCTTCAGAGACCGCTCTGTTCTCATCCTGTAGGAAGCCCTGGGAGCACAGGGAGGGCCTCTTCTCCCTAGGTCTTCCTCCTTCCTCCCCTTTCCTCCCCCTTCCTTGCCACCTACCCTGACAATCATCTTTCCTATTTTCATCTGGATGGGTCCAGCCTGAGGGAGTCCTTGTGGAGAAGACACACAGCTCGCTGCTGTGCCCAAAAGGTGGGTTGACTGGAGGGGAGGGTGGGTGGTGAGAACCCTTAGGTAACAGGAGATTTTCTTCAGCAAAAAGAGGAATGGAATGTAGATGGTGGAAAGGATTAGACAGTGTGGGGTGCCATTCCTTGTGGGGCCAATTAGCTGAGAGGCAGGAGGAAGAAGAAGATACACAGTAGGATTGTGGCTTTCTTTGAAAGTCTTTTCAGGAAAGATCATCATGAATAGATAAAAGAAATCTGTCTCCATCCCACAGAAAACTCTGGATCGTAGGAAGTTTTACAACACGTTGGACAGGAGACCCTTCACTGCTTTTATCTTCTATTGTCTCACAGGAAAGGTGGTTTCAGAATCCATCTCCCTGGAGCTCCCTGCGGATGTTGTCCCTGATTCAACAAAGGCTTATGTTACTGTTCTGGGTAAGCAGATAGAAATTCTTGGTTGAAAAAAAGAAAGAAAACATGGGACTGAAAGGTGTAAAAGTATAAAGTGGGCTGGGTACGTAGAGTTATCTGAAAGAAGGTCTGCTAGTGACGGAGAAAGACGAGTTTATTTTATATAGTGGGGAATGCAGAGTATAGGCAACAGTAGAGGTGGTGTTAGATGTATTCTGTAGTGCTTATAGAGTTGACCAAACAATATGTATTTAGACTTAGGTGGTCTAGGAAACAGATAAAGAGAACAAAAGGCTTGTGGCAGTCACCTGTAAGAAAATGAGGCATTTACCTATTTGAATATAGTTTAGGGAAGATGCGTCATGTTTCCATGTTTCCACCGTTTCATGACTGTGGGGAAGAAAGGGAATGAATAGAAAATTGAAACCCTATGAAATTCCGTTAGGGACCCAGTACTACCATGTCCAGCCATGTTGTCTTAAACAGAGTTACTTAATCATCCGCCCCACCACCACTGTTTTAGAAAACATTTTTTCTTGGTTTGGTCAAGGTTTACAGAGCACATTTGTTTCCCATCCAAGAGCCGATACACATTTCGCTTGCTGACCTTGGTTGCAGGCTCCTCAATGGAGCTGCATTCTTCCCACTTCTGCCCAGGGCTCCCCATTTCCATGCACCCTTCGCTCCAGCCCCTTCCCGCCTTCTGAAAAATGCTTCCCTTTGAGGTTGACTGTTCTGAGGGTTGTTCCTTAGAATATTGTCGATTGTTTAACAATTAAGCAATCCTGATTTCCCTTCTGTAAGACGTGATAGTCCTGTGATACTTCTGAGGATTGCTGTGAAGATCAGATGCGAAGTTGAGAAAGTTCCGAACACAATATCTAATACATAATAGGAGCCTTATCAATGCGGAGTTCTTTTTCTTTACTCTTTTACTGGTCGGTCTTTTGTAGGTCCAACATTCTGTTTTAACTGTAATTTTATTTATAGCTCTAGTATCCAACTAACTAATCTATTGCTATCAGGTCGATTCAGAATCATTGCAACCCTTTACAGGGGTTCTGAGGCTGTAAATCTTTATGGAAGAAGATAGCCTCACCATCCTCCTATGGAGCAGCTCATTGTTTTGAACCACCTACTTTATAGTTCATAACCTAAGGTTTACCCAACCATGCTAGCAGGCTGGGTAATAATACTGTATTAGCCCGAATATAGTAAACTTTTTATTGTAACATAGTTCACTGTGTTCCACACTGCATTGTAAGCTCCTTGAGGACAAGAGCCAGGCTTTTTTCATTTCTGGTTCCTAGAACTGTCCTGGGAACATAGTTGACATCCAGTAAATATTTATAGACTTGAATGTATCTCAATGGCTACAGTGTAAATGTTAATGAGTTGCTACTGGCTTATATAATATATGGAAAGGTCTGTGGACAATTTGGCATAGACATAACTTGTCAAGATGGTATGTGTTCCTATTCTGATTGATAGCTGGGCACCATCTACTTTCTTCACCGTACTTTGCTGTGATAATCTTACCTTCAGTGATCCTTTCATGAAGGTATCAAGCAGGACCATGTTATCAGAACTAAGTGTACTTAAATTGGGGCTAGAGTTAAGTAGGACCCCAGACTCCATCTGCTTGTCCATATGGTTTGCATGGCTCAGGTTTACTTTGGTGGTTGTAATATAACAAAATCACAACCCTGTAATAGTAACTGCATCATTAGCAGCCATACGCCAATCAGCAGCCAAACAACCAGAACATACATACTGAAAAAAGAAAAAAAAGAAAGGAAAAACAAAATCACAAAAGAGCAAGCCACAAGCAGGAAATCAAAAACCCATATAACTAAAGGAGTATGGCATTGTCACCCCCCTGGCGTATAAGTCGATGGCATTATTAACAGTCAGTATGAGGAGTCTATACGAGTAGTCTCATCTTGAACCACACCCATGATATTTTTCCCTACTCAGTTCAATCTTTCATTCAACTGGGCTCTGTTGACCCTAAATATGGGAGTTGATGCCACTTGGGGGTCTTCCTGGGCCAACTTCCCCAAGTGTAGATCCCTGTTCAATGGATCCCCACCTGTTGAGTCACTACCAGGTGGGCACTGAGGCACTACATGTATGGGGATCCTGCACACCCACCAAGTCAGAGGTTTTCCCCAAAGTCCAGCAACTGCCACTTCCATAACCCTGGGACAGGCCCTCTCTGCTTCCTCTCCCATTCAAATACCCCATCCCTCAGGCCAGGGGTACAGGCAGCTTCAAGATAGGGTTCAGTTCATTCAGCAGAGCCTATACATTAAGCCCTTTTGGGGTAGCCCCTGCATTATGCCCTGTTACCTGCCAAGTTGGCTTTTGTGATCATCCTTGGGCTTAGTCCATGGTGTGGTTCATGAAAGGTTGCGTAGAAAAGAATTCATAGGGTCTACCCAGGTACCTAAAATCTGGCCCATTTCCCCCCTAGGTTCCCTATATTCATTGTTTAACATCCCTTCCCACTCTGTGGTTATAGAGAGTCACTGAGTTTTAACTGAAGTGTACTAGGGACTCTCTGGGGTGCTTGGGGACACTGACCCAGAATGCTAGGGTGATGGTCATATGTTTTCCCCTATGCCAAGATACCCTGTGTACACCAAGAACACAGCTGCATTTGCTAAGATAAGACCAGGCCCAGGAATTGTTTGTGCTTAGAGCAATTTTATCATGGTGTTATTGTTACACTATGCGTGCTATGTACTCTTGCCTCATTATTATCTAAAGCTGTCCTTTGGAAATAAAATCTCCCTTTGAATCATCAAAAACAAAACAAAACAAGACTGTGTGTTCAAAAGGGACTTGGTGATTTGGAGGGTAATGCACTTATATGCAGTTGGGAAGCTTAGTAGTTGGGTATTAGACTTTTCATGACATCATTAACCAGTTCTAGTAACTTTCTGGGTCCAGAGGGTTGTACAAACCTAAAGTTAGGCAAATAGTTAATGCACTTGGCTGCTAACAGAAAGGTTGGAGGTTAAGTCCACCCAGAGATGCCTTAGGACAGGGGTCCTCAAACTACGGCCCGCAGGCCACATGCGGCCTGCCGAGGACATTTATCCGGCCCGCCGGGTGTTTTTGCCCCATTTGCCTTTTCACTTCAAAATAAGATATGTGCAGTGTGCAGAGGAATTTGTTCATAGTTTTTTTTTAAAACTATAATCCGGCCCTCCAACGGTCTGAGGAGCAGTGAACTGGCCCCCTGCTTAAAAAGTTTGAAGACCCCTGCCTTAGAAGAAGGGGGTCTTCTTCCCCCAAGTAGCCATTGAAAAGAGAGCAGAGCATGGCTCTAGTTTGCCACACATGGGGTCTCCATGAGTCTCAATCAATCTAGTGACAAGGGGCTTTTTGTTCTGGGTATCTAGCATCATTTATGGACCCAATGCTGCATTAAAGTTACTGTTGTTGGTGGTGTTAGGTGCCATCAACTCAGTTCTGTGCAACCCTATGCACAACAAAACAAAGCACTGCTTGGTCATGAACCATCCTCACCATGATTGGGTTGTTTGAGCACATTGTTGTGGCTACTCAGTCAATTCATCTCCTTGAGGCTTCCTCTGTTTCTCTGCCCTCCACGTTACCAAGCATGATGTCCTTTGTCAGGGACGGGTCACTCCTCAGAACATGTCCAAAGTACAAGAGACCAAGTCTCATCATCCGCACTTCCAAAGGGCATTCTGATTGTACTTCTTCCAAGACAGATTCGTGTTTCTTCTGGCAGTCCCCGGCACTTGCGTCATTTTTCACCAGCACCCATATTTCAGATGCATCGATTCTTCTTTGGTCTTCCTTATTCTTTGTGCAACTTGCACATGTACGTGAGGTGATTGAAGTACCATGGCTGGAGTCAGGTGCACCTGTATTGTAATTGTTTATTGTGAACTATAACTGAAACTGTTTGACCCTTTGTGAGCTTTTGAAGGTAGAGGTTGTGTTTGCCTTATAGTTGTACCTCCCAAAGACATAGTAGGAACTTGTTAAATGATAGTTACGGTATTTACTGGTGTATAAGATGAGTTTTTCAGCACATTTTAAACGCAGTTTTTGTGGTAAAATTAGGTGACTCAGCTGATATTCGGGCCAGCTTATACTCAAGTATATACGGTACTATATATTTGTAAAACGAATGGTTGTTTATTTTTTAAAATCTTAATTGCTTTTTTCTTTTTCCTATCGCTAAATGCTTGTTCTCTCCCTTTGGCTCCCAGGGGACATTATGGGCACAGCCCTGCAGAATTTAGATAATCTGGTCCAGATGCCAAGTGGCTGTGGGGAGCAGAACATGGTGATGTTCGCCCCCATCATCTACGTGTTGCAATACCTGGAGAAGGCAGGGCTGTTGACTGAGGAAATCAAGTCTCGGGCAGTGGGTTTCCTGGAGAAAGGTAAGTTGGCTCAATCTTTCTTGGGCAGTCTTCTCCCTCAGGATCTAGGATAGGGCGAAAGAGTGGAGGCCGTTCCATTCCCTGGCAGTGGAACTTGAAGAGGCTGGGGATGTGTTTTGAAGTTGTCATGTGATCTAAAACCACTTCTGGCTTCCCAGGGTACCAGACAGAGTTGACGTACAAACACAGCAATGGTTCATACAGTGCCTTTGGGGAGAAGGACGGAAACGGAAATACATGGTAATATTGCCCCTTTCCCAATGAGCATGATTCCCCAGAACATAGTTCCTGGGCCCTTTAGAACTTTCTCCCCTCTCACCTGAATGTGGTACCTTTTTGCACTCAGCCTTCCACCTGCCTAACGCTGTCTGTTTCAGCATCCTTCTCCAGCTCTCGTGTCCTCCCTAGTTCCTGTCCCTACTCGTGCCAATTCATGTATTCCTTTGGAGGCTTCCTCTGGTATTATGTTTTCCCATCTCTCCTTCCAGAGCCCTGTGTCAGAACACGCTCTCACCAGGAAATTTCCCCTTTTAGGCTGACAGCCTTTGTCACCAAGTGCTTTGGCCAGGCTCGGGAATTCATCTTCATTGATGACAAGAACATCCAGGAAGCTCTTAAGTGGATGGCAGGAAACCAACTCCCCAGTGGCTGCTATGCCAATGTGGGGAAGCTCCTTCATACATCGATGAAGGTGAGGGGCTGGCCAGGGCTCTGCAGCCCACTGGCTCTGTCTGCAAGGAACTTGCTCCTCGGAGCTGTAGCCAACAAGCAGTGACCTAGGCATCAGTTCTTCAGGTACGAGTGACATCACGTAGGCCTTAGTCTTCAGGAGGGACAATAGCTTAGGCCTCTGAGACACATAGTCTAGGCCTCAACTTCCATGCCTGTAGAATGGGACAATGGACTAGGACATGGTTCTCAGATCAGCAGACGAGCATCCCCTTGCTTGGAAGGCAAACTCGAGCCCCACTCCAGACCTCCTGAATGAGAACATGTGTGTGTGGAGGCTGGAGACATTTTCATTAGCTTCCTAGATAACCCTGAAGAACCTGGTGGTGATGAGTTGCTAACCCCAAGGTCAACAGTTCAAAACCACCAGCCACTCCTCAGGAGAAAGATGGGGCTTTCTACTCCTGTAAAAAGTTACCGTCTCAGAAGCCCACAGGATCAGTTCCCCCCTTTCCTGTGGTCATTGTGAGTTGGAATCAAGGCGATGGCAGTGAGTTTTGTTTGGGTTGGATAATTCTGATGTAGCTGAACCACTGGACTAGAAGGTCTCTCAGCCTTTCACCCTCTCCCCCAATCTGGAATGTAGTCTGAGCCATTTCCTTTGGTGAGGACGAATAGGCAACCAGGTGTCTTTTGTAATGCTGTCTATCATGAAATTAACCTTAATTTTGGGTGCCAGTAATTTCTGTGCCAGTATCTTATTTTTGTTTAATGTTATGCAGTGCTTACAACAAATCAATGGGACAGGTACTTATATCACGTTATTAATTCCATTTTACAGAAACTAAGTCCCTGATTGAAGTAAATTGTCCAAGTTCATTGTTAATACGTGGTAGAACTATAGTTTGAACCTTGGCAGTCTGGCTCCATAGGCACTCCTCCCAGCCACTTGTGACATGACCATCTGTTCGTAGTCGCCATTGAGATGGCTATGACTCGTGGTAACCTTATGTGTGAGGGGGTTTCACAAAGCTCACGGAAAATCCCACTGTGTTAGACAGAGTTCTCTAGAGAAATAAAACCAGAACACTTATGATTTTAGAGATATAGATAGATATACAGCATGAAGGAATATAATAACAGCTAATTAGTCTGCACAGCAATACAGAGGGCTCAGTTCTACTCACTTCTGTGGAACAGTTAATATACTCAAAGTCCTTCAATTCATGAGGACTGCTGGGTCCAACGTCAAAGGAGCAGACAGCTGAGTCTTCTGTAGAGCAATGAGGGCAGTCCGGCCACAGGCGGCAAAGAGCAGGGCAGGTCACCAACAGTCAGCCAGACGACAGGATCCGACAGTCCCAAGCTCAAGTGATGTATACACCATCAGCGTGATGAAGCAGGTCTCAAAAGTACCTCAAGCTCCAGCAACATGATCCACGGGTGGGTGTCCCATGAGTAGTGTAGCTCACAAGTTAAAGCAGAGAACTAGCTAAGGTAACTAACTGCACAGTGGTTCAATCACCAGAGAGCAAGAGAGAGACAGGTGGGGCTTGCTGAACCATTTACCTCTTTGCCCTCCAATCAAACTGTGACCTTCTTAATTCCACATGTTCCTATTGGTCAGGTTGGCACAATAAACCTACCTATCACACCCACTACCTTTTTATTCCATTTCTCTATGAACAGCAGAAGGAAATGTTGCCCAATCCCATGCTCCCAAATACAGGATGAGACACAGATGCTGGAGGATGATGTGGTCAGTTCAGAACATCATAAGTGAAAAAAGATTTGTATCAACTTTTCTAGATAAATCATTTACAGTGTTGTTCCAGGGCTTGGATTGAACATCTTAAGCATTGAAAACAAAATAGCTCTATAGAGATTCCACTAGAATTCTTTATCAATATCATTAATATCATATATAAGGAACATCTTCATGAATATTATTTTCAAACGACTACAGGAGCACATTGCAAAGGAATTGCCAGAAATTCAACCTGGATTCAGAAGCGGACGTGGAACAAGGAATAACTTTGCTGATGTCAAGTGGCTCTTGGCTGAAAGCAGAGAACACCAGAAGGATGTTTACCTGTGCTTTATTGACTATGAAATCGCATTTGACTGCGGTGCATAACAAATTATGGATAGCATTGCAAATAATGGGAATTCTAGAATACTTATATGCAAAGCCTCTACCTAGACCGGGAAGCAGTTGTTCAAGCAGAACAAGAGGACACTACATATTTTAAAATTGGAAAAATTGGGCATCGGCACTGTATCTTTTCACTGAATTTATTCAATCAGTATGAGAACAAATGATTTGAGAACTTGGGCTATGTGAAGAACATGGCATCAGAACTTGAGGAAGAGTCAGAAACAGCCTGCAACATGCAGATAACACATCTGAAAGTGAAGAGGACTTGAGAACTTACTGATAGACCTTAACACAGAAATGTTAAAAACCGAATGAATAAGCAACGACATGATAAATGGAGAAAATATTGCCATTGTTAAGAATTACATTTTACTTGGACCTATAGGACCTATAGGACCAATGCAATGGAAGCAGCAGTCCAGAAATTAAATGATGGATTGTGTTAGCCAAATCCGTTGTAAAAGACCTCTTTGCCTCTTTAAAGGGTTAAAAAGTGAAAATGCCACTTTGAGTACAAAGGTCTTCCTGACCCAAGCCATAGTATTTTCAGTTGCCCCATATGCATGTGAAAGCTGGATATTGAACAAGCAAGGCTGGATAATTGAAGCCTTTAAAGTATGGTGTTCACAAAGAATACTGAATATACTATGTGTCAGAGGAAACCAGCCTCCAACCAAAGGGCAATTGTATGGTGATTAATATATAAAGATTATAGTAAAGTCAGAGAGGATAGGAAAGATAGGGGAGAGAATAAAATAAAGGAGTCAGACACATTTTATCGTAGCATGCTCACTTCAGCTCCTCTTGATGGCCCACATGGAACTAGGAGAAGTGAGAGAAAACCTTTACTGTCTTGTGACCTTTATAGGTAGCCATAAGACATGCATAGTCAGTAGTTACAGCATCACAACGTGGGTGCTATCTACATTAAGGTCCCTGAGCTCACAGGTGAGAGTAACCTAACACCAGTGCCCAGGGCAGGTAAGGGGGAGTGGCTGTCCTCAGAGCCTAGAAAGCAATAGCTTGTGTCTGCTACATAGCAACCAACCATGTGCTTGTAAGAAGTAACTTTAAGATAGCACTCCTATGGGAGCATATAATGGAGAACAATATTAATGATGAGCATGTGATTGGGACTCACCTCCAACTCACAAGGGTGAAGGCCTCCTCCACCCCAGAAACCCAGCCTGCCAGGCTCCTGAATATATGAGGCTAAAGGTTTCATCTGTATACACACTCTTCCTGTTCTCTGCTCCCCACAATTATGGACTGCCAAAAGAATGAAGAAACCCATCTTGGCAATAGTACAACCAGAATGCCCCTTAGAAGCAAGAATGGCAAGCTTTTGTCTTGCTTAATTGGGATATGTCATCAGGAGGGACCAATCTCTGGAGAAGAGCAGCATGCTTGGTAAAGCAGAGAGGCAGCTAAGCAGTGGAAGACCCTCACTGAGATGGATGGGTACAGTGGCTGCAAAGATGGGGTAAAACATAGCAACAATTGTGAGGATGGTTCAGAACGAGGTTGTGTTTCATTCTGCTGTCCATATAAGGGACTTTGGTGGTGTAGCAATTGCATGTTGTGCTGTTAACCACAAGGTCAGTAGTTCGAAACTGAGAGAAAGATGAGGCTTTCTACTCCCATAAAGAGTTACAGTCTCAGGAACTCACAGGGGCCGTTCTACCCTGTCCTGAGTCAGAATCAACCTGATGGCACTGAGTTTGAGTTTTGAGTACATAAGACTCAAAGACTTCTCAAGACAAGAATAGTATTCTGTAAGCAGGATCGCATCTTTCCCAAGACATTCTCTTCCCTTTTATATGAAAGCCCCGGGAGTCATGTAAAACTTGATTAGAATCAATTCCTACAATTTTTTTCCTATCTCTTTTCTGTGTGGTCAAGTTTAACAGCTCAGTGCTTGATCTCTCAGGTTCACATTCCTGAGTCCAAATTCCAGTGCTGCTGCTTATTAGGGATGTAAGTTTGAACAAGATTGTAAACCTTTTATAGGGTTCGTTTTCTCATTAATAGAATGAGGATCATAATGTAGAGTAGGTATTTTTATACCTTGCTAAGATCCTTTTTTGTGAAAAACATTAAGCAGGGCAAGTCTTTTTTTTTTAAATCGTTTTATTAGGGGTCCATATGACTCTTATCACAATCCATACATACATAAATTGTATAAAGCACATTTGTACATTCATTGACAGGGCAAGTCTTACCTAATCCCTGTCCACCTGCCCCCAGAGTAGGGGATGGACCTCATGTTCCTGGAGGGAGAACCAATGGGGCTGCTCCGTTTGGGTGGGATGGTAAAGATATTCTCCCTGGTTCCCTTTGTTGACCCTCTCATCCTTCTTAGGCCCTTCTCTTGAGTTCCCTTAGGACCTACCCCAAAGTGAAAACTACTACAGTGCCATGTAGTTGCTAAAGTCCTGCCCTTTCCCCCCTCCCTGTGTTGTGTCTTCGAAGCTTAGGGCTGCTATCAGCCCATGGAAAGGAACACTTTAAAAAAAATTAATTTATTCACAGGGTTGCCTGTGTTTGTTAGTTTTAATTGCACACGGTCCCTGCTTGGGCTGGCCGTTGTCCTCCCGCTCATCCCCTTGTGCCTTTTTAGGGTGGTGTTGACGATGAGATCTCCTTGACTGCATATATCACTGCTGCCTTGCTGGAGATGGGGAAGCCCCTAGATGTGAGTTTTTCCAACCCTTCCTCTTTATATACTTTCTATCATGCCTGTTACTAGAGAAACTCCTTTCTCTCTGCCCAATTGTAATCGGGATCATGTTAGGATTTCCCTGTTGCTTCCATTTCAAAAGGAATAGCGTATCAGCTGGTATCCGTCTTCACTTTTCAGGATCCAATGGTGAGTCAAGGTCTGCAATGTCTCCAGAAATCTCTCACCGCTGTCACCAACCTCTACACCCAGGCCCTCCTAGCTTATACTTTCTCCCTAGCTGGGGAAACGGACATCAGGAGGAGTCTTCTGGAAAAATTAGATCAACAGGCTCTCATCTCAGGTATGTTGGTCAGGTAGAAATACCTTAGGCATTCTGAGAATATGACATGTCGTATCTATGATTTTCCCAGCCTCCTCAGTCTCACATATATTCCATCCAAAGAGTCACTTTAGAAAAAGATGGTAAGTCACAAAATCATCACTAGGAACTTGGAGTTAACGAAGAGACACTAGTGGGTAGAGGTAGTAGAAGATGTATGGCAGTGTAGAATCACATTTTTGGAGGTCTTCAAAATTCCTTTTGAGTCCATGGGTGGTGAAAATGGTCTATTCACACAGCTGCTAACTAAAAATTTGGAGATGATAAGATCACCCGGTGGTACCTGTCACCCGGAAGGAACTCCTGTCAGGGGACACCTAGGTCAGTTGACAAAACGTAGGTCATAAAGCTAATGTTCTATATCTTAGGCTGGTGAACAGCACCTGAAGTCTGGGCTACCTTCCAGCCATGTGTTTATATATAGTGTAGCATCACTGCATGGGACTATGAAGCGAATGGGAAGAATGTGTCCTTCTAATGTACCACATTAGAAGGCAACCTTTGCTCAAACCCAGACGAGAAGACAGAGCGGGACAAGGAAACAAGATGGGTGGACATGACGAGTCCAGCGAGGCAACAGGAAGAAAGCTGATATGTTGCAGGCGTTGAAACCAATGTCACAGAGCGATTTGTAAATGAACTATTGACTGGGAACATGAAACGGTTATGCAAAACGTCATCGACAGTACAATAAAATGTGTCTAAAAAGAAGAAAGAAAGGCGGGCTGGCAATTCACAACCGACAAATGAGCATTTGAAAATCCCTCAGAGCACAGTTCTACTCTGACGCATCTGGAATCGCCAAGAGTTGGAATTGCCAAAGCTCTCACTGCCATCCAGTCAATATTGGCGCATCGCAACCCTATCTGACCCACCACGGCTGCGCCTGTGAGTTGTTGAGACTGGAACCCTCCACCAGCGTAGAAAATCCCAGGAAATGTCAAACTGCGGTCCTTGTGGAGCCACTACACCAACCACGGGGCTCCCTACCTTATAACTACTATGATCTATTTGTTTGTTTGTTTGTTTATTATTGGGAGTTCACACATATATAATGCCACTCCATAATGCAATCCCATAAAGCAGTATTGTACAATTGCTACCACAATCAGTCTCCAAACATTCTTTTCCTCCCTGAACTCCTTGACATCGACTCCAATTTAAAAATTTAAAAGAGGAGCTGATATCAAGGGGTCAATAGAAAGTAATTGTCTAGAAAAGAATGATGACAACACATGTAAAATATGCCTGATACAATTGATGTATGGATTGTAATAAGAATTGTAAGCCCCCTCAATGAAATTATTTTAAAAAAAATACAGTACACGGGGCCTTGATGTAGCAAGGCCATGTTTGTCTGCCTACCAACAGTTCCGCAGTCTTGGAACAGCTCTCTTCCACTGCCTCAGACACCGTGCATTTTCTGACTTAAGTTCTCAAGTTACAAGTGTGCCTAAGGTAGAGTCCAGATCCCCCGGGGGATTTTGTTATTTATTTTTTTAAATGTAGGATCATGAAATTGTATCTTAAGATGGAATGAGAATTAAACTGAGAGATTTCTCAAAGTTCTTTGACAACTTTTGGATGTATTTAGAGTTGTTTGAAGTTTTAATAGATCCTACAAATAAAATATTAGTACATCTTACTTATTTAGCTATGTATTTGAATTTTTATTTCCAGGAAGAAATTTAATCTCAGCTTTCATTTATATGAATATCATTGCTGAGTTCTCCTCTCATGGACTCTAGATATATATATATATTTTTTTTTTGCTGGGTGTATATGGGTGTTTCCAACAGTGGATGGAGGATATCCTTGCCACTGTTTTAATGATTTTAAGTTATTCTCTTCTCGATTATCTTACAGGCTTACACGTGTTCTCCTATACTCTTCCAATTAGATTGCCTCCTAAGAGTTATTCATTCTTGGTACTGCTGTTTAATAGGCTTCTAGCTCCCACTCTTCTTATCTCCATTTGTTTTTCTGTTTCGGCAAGTTATCTGTCATACATTCTACTGGATCATCTTCTAATATTTCCTTAATATTTCTTCTATAGTTTTTCAGCATTCCTATGCATAATCAACTCTTCTTTTTTATTCTTCTATTCAAACATTAAGCCCTTGATTAAGAGTGATAGTGGTGGAGTTAAAGGGAGACGATGTCAAGGAGTCCATGTAGAAAAAGATTGTTTGGAAACTGATTGTGGTAGCAATGGTACGATTCTATTTGATGTGATTGAAATATGGAATGATAGGATACAGGCACTAAATCCCAACGAGTGAAAAATATATATAAGTAGGGATTGTGATAAGAGTTGTACAAGCCCCCAATAAAATGATTTTTAAAAAAGAATAAGAAAAATCCATAAGATTCTTTAAGTAAAAAAATGCCCCCATGCACATAATACTCTTAAAAGATGCTTATACTTCCTGAGCTACTTACTTACCTCTGATAGCATCAGGATTTATAACTCAATAAGGTTTTCCTGTAGTTACAGGAGACTGCAGCCCTGTTGGCATAATGGTTATACATCGGGATGCTAACTGCAAGGGTCACAGTTTGAAACCAGCAAGGGGGTAGGGGTGGGGAGGAAGGCTGTCTACTTCCTTAAGGAGTTACCATCTTGGAAATTCGGTTCTGCCCTGCCTTATGGGTTTGCTATGAGTTAGAATCAACTAGATGGTAGTGAGGTTGAGGTTGGAGCATTTATTGATCTTCCTAGCTAAACCATACCTTGGAGATTTGTTCATGACTGCGGGCATGTGCGCACGTACACACACACACACACACACACACACACACACTCCACTCATGTCTGCATCCCGTATATACATTACAGTCAGTAAATGAGTGAATTCTGAGTACTGCTTGTTTCTAACCCTGTAAATTCTTAGTTGAACTTTCTCTGCTCTGAAGTACAGTGTTTACAGACTGAGTATGGAAAAGCCATTTCCTTCTAAGGCCTTACTCATTTTGCTTCTTTCTCCTTAGGGGAGTCAATTCACTGGAGTCAGAAACCTACTCAGCGATCAGAGGCCAGCTTTTGGTCTGAACCTGAGGCTGTGGAGGTGGAGCTCTCATCATATGTATTGTTGGCCCAGCTTACCAAGTCCAGCTTGACTCAGAAGGAGATAGCAAAGGCCACTGGTATAGTTGCTTGGCTAACCAAGCAACGCAATGCTTACGGAGGCTGCTCTTCAACGCAGGTAAACAGCTTACTCTCCTCACTGCTGCTTATTAGAAAGGACTAGAGTTTTGTGTAGCTAGAGAAAAAAAATTAATCCCACTCTCTAGGCCTAGGATCTTATAATTCTAGTAACAGAATAAAATATAAAAAACATATAGGATTCATAAAATTGGATCATATGAGCACATAAGTAGTACTAAATTGATTTAATGCTCTTTGTAGAGTTTAAGAACATATGAGATTAATATTTTACATGTAAAGGGGATACACATAATTATAACTACATGTGCATATTAATACATCAGAAAGCCAATTTTGGAGATAAAAAATGGTATGTGATGAGCATACCTCCTGTTATGGTAGGGCTTGGGAAGCCAGCAAGCTATAATACATACTAAAAGATTTATGATCTAGACAGAAATCTTGGGCAAGTTCTCTATGTTATAAAATAGGATCTGGTTATAGTATAATAGAGGCACTAAATGCTTTAGACTGCCAAGAAGAGATCACTCCGTCAGCTTGAGGGATAAGCAGTATTCACAGAGGAATGACATTTGAGATAGAGCTATAAGATCTGTAAGATCTATAAGATAGATCTATATAGATCTATAAGATCTGTAACATTTGAGGGTGACTACTGAAAGGAAGAGGAAGTGGTGTGAGTTGTGACATCACTTTGTGAGCATGTAGGATGGTCTTTGGGAAAACTGGCTTCACCAAATCATAATTGAATTTCAGTTGGAAAGGTAAGGTAGGTTCATATTATGAAAGGCCTTGTATGTCAGACAACCGTTTGCAGCTAATGCTAGGGAACTATTCGACTATTTTTTTTAACATTGTTTCAAAAAGGTTCATTTGGAAGTTGGTATACTGTTAGATCCTTTAGAGGAGTGAGTTAGACTGGAGGGAGGGTTACATCCAGGTTAGGGGTCAAGAGAACTGGAAGGAGTGTGGTGGCAAGTGGAAAGCAAACAGGAGGGTCAGAAGGGCATAAAGTTCAAATAATACCATCGCATTTGTTTAAGAACACGGCCACAGAGCGCGGAGTTATCCCCTTATTCATCCTGCAAATGTTCTGACAGACCCACAATGAATCACTGATGCAGGCACCGAAGAAAACAGGAAAGCCTTTGTCTTGTCCTCACAGAGCTTGTGCTCTGACATGGTGAAATCAGGGTTAGTTTCACTGAGACTGTAACATATCAAGGAACAGATTCTTTATAGATGGAATGTCTGGTAAAGGTGTTACGAACTCCACGTTTAAATATGAGAGTAACTTATTGGGGATTGCAAATAATTACATGGTACTATGCTTCCTGTTTCAGGAAAGTTCTTGGCCCAAGATCAGGAGAGGCTCCCTTCTTTCTTCTTGCTGGGTCTTAAATCATTATAATCCATGAAAATGTTAGAGAGCAGTGGGCGAAATGTTTAGAACTCTAGTGACAGATATATGTTAGAATCGTTTTCCAATAAAATCCTTGACTATTACAAGAAGTCACGTATCACAAATCATCCACGCTAGCTTTTCAGCTGATGGGGAGGGCCATTCCCTTGAATTGTTTCCATATGTACAAGCCGTAAAGGCTTCTTGATTACATTTCACAAAGGCTAGACAAAACGTTGTTTGTAAGTGATCAAGTTGCATAGTTATAACCTGTTCCCCGCCCCCTCGGGCTGGATGATCTGTTTTCCTACTTTATAGAGCAGTGGCGGCATCTAAATCCCCTTGTGCTGTTTCATTGGGGATATCAAGAAGTGGGGTTCCTTTTTCTAAAACATAGTTTACAAAATGTCAAATCTGTAGAAATTCGCACACTACAGAGCAAGATGTGTTTTCCAAACGCCTCCCCTCCCTTCTTTGGCTATATAAGTGTATATAAATCACGTTTCCACAATAGAGAGTTCCAACTGTGCTGTGTTGCGCTATGCTTGCTTAGTGACAGCTTATGTGTCTTAGTCCCAGATGAAGAAAAGATTTTTATATGACTTAATGGCTAAGAAGCATTGACCTGCAAGGAGGGCCTTTTCAAGGATCCCTGGTCTGCTCCCCTCTGGGTCACAGATGAGAGCGCAGTTACATAACTTCATGGACTGCCTGATTTCTATGGCTATCAAGTTACTGCTGTTTCCTTCCCAAATGAGGAAACTTCTAAATATATACTGAACGGTTACCCACTTATTTTCACAAAGCACTAGCCTGTTCTGCACTTAGGTATGGTTTCTGAATATGAGTGTATTAAATTAGCCAAAATAAGCTATACCTATTCAATAATAACTTGCTGAAGGTTACTTTCTATACAACAATTTGATTTCTATGTCAGCTTCCCCAGGGGAGGTGAATGTGGTTCTCCAGATACTTAGAAAGGATATCATCCGAGCTAGCTAACAACAAACAGATGTATGGGTTTATGGGGTTGCTTGAGGTTAATTCCAATGGTTCACAAAATGGTAAGCATATGTTTGGTTTTGTTTCTTGTTTGCCTCTTCTTCCTCAGGATACTGTAGTTGCTCTCCAAGCTCTTGCCAAATATGCCACCACTGCCTATGAGCCAACTGAGGGAGTCAACCTGGTTGTACAATCCACTCAAAATTTCCAGCACACTTTCAATGTGCAGACTGTCAATCGCTTGGTATTTCAGCAAGAGACTCTACCTCATATTCCTGGAGTATACACCTTAGAAGCCTCTGGCCAGGGCTGTGTCTACGCGCAAGTAAGCAAAGATATATAAGAAGGAATTCAGGCTGGGAAGAGGAAGTCAAGTGTATATTTGCTTCCAAGTAGAACCTTCTCCGTATCTCCCCATCTTGTTTGTAAAGAAAGTAGTTTAAACTGTAAAATCTCCAAAAAAGGTTCTCAACTCTCATTTGGTTATCTATTTCCTCTTATCAGACAGTGCTGAGATACAACATTATCCCTCCTAAAAATCTGGAGACCTTTACCCTTAGTGTGGAAATGGGAAGAGCTAGATGCGATCAACATACTTCACCCCAATCTGTGACTCTTACTATCCACACCAGGTGAGGAATTGGGGCAACGGAAAACTGGGCTGGTTGAGGGGGGACCTGCAACATAGGAGATGGTCTGGTGTGCGCATGCATGGATGTGCTTGCGTGTACGTGTGTGTTTGCTGGGGGCGGGGGTGAGATACATGCACTGAGGGAGCAAGTAATGGGCTCACCCTGGTTTGCTTCTTCCTGTCGTTAGTTATGTGGGGAGCCGTAGTTCTTCCAATATGGCCATCGTGGAGGTGAAGATGCTCTCTGGGTTCAATCCTGTAGAGAGCACCAATCAGATGGTAAGTAATTTATTTTCTTTATTTAACTGGTCCTCATGAGATCTAACATGATCATCAGAAAGTTGGTGAAATGGATAGAGTTGTATACATCCACAATTCCTAATGGGACTCTAAATTGACCAGAGAGAGCTAGCAGCCCTAGGAAATGGATTCAGTAGTCATCTCGGTTCCTTTTCCACAGCATATATCGTCTCCTTGATGAGGATAGAGCTTGGGGAGGCGATCTTAAGGGACAGGGGAGGCTGACTCTTGGTTTCCCTTTCCCCTTTCCTACTCAGCTCCTCCAGCAACCCCTGGTGAAGAAGGTTGAATATAGAACCGATACCCTTCACATTTACTTGGAAGAGGTAAGTATTCTGGAGCTTGACCAAAGAGCTTCACTGCTGTTCCCTTTTTTAATGATTCTGCTCCTAATCCAGACGCGCTAGCACCACATACACGGGAATGAATGAGGCACCTGACCAAGTGAGTCTGCACCCATGAGATGATAATGGTGGTGGAGGAAAGAAGTTATAGACACCAAACACAACCTGTGGTCACTTGCAGAAATATAGACTATAAGCTCGGTCTCATTTTCTCCTGTATGCGTATCCAAACTCAAACCGAACTCACTACCGTCGAGTAGATGCTAATGCATAGCGAGCCGACAGGGTGGGGTACACCCTGCCCCATGGGTTTTTGAGACTGTGACCCTGTATGAGAGTAGAAAGTCTCATCTTTCTCCCGGTTTATGGTTTCCAACTGTAGCCCCTGTGGTTAGCAGCCCAATTTGTCACCACTGTGCCACCCGGGTTTCCTGTGATGCATACGTTTAACCTAATTTTTCCTCCATGTTGGTGTGTAACCCTGAGGATATCACTTTCCAACAGCTATATAATCCCAACCACTTACATGTCGTTTTAAAATGCCTTATAGTCATGTAAAAAGATACAAGTGAGATTAATTGTGGTGTATTTTTCCTAACCGTATGTAGCCAAAATATTTTCATTTCACCATGTACTTAAAAAACATAAGCACTAATGAGATATCTACAGCCCCCCCCACACACACACACAACATCTTTAAAACCCAGTATTTATTTTACCATTATCAAAAAAACAAAAAAACAAACCAAATCCACTGCCACGGAATCCGTTTGGATGCAGGGTGCCTCCCAGCCCAGAGTAGAATTGCTCCCTCGGGTCCCTCGGCTGTGAACCTGGACGGGAGCAGACAGCCTCACCATTCTCCCTTGCAATAGCCAGTGAGTACGAACCTTGCGGTTGGCTGTCCAATGCTTAACCAACTACACCACCAGGGCCTCCCAGCTCTCTGACTGGTCACATGTCAAGGTCACAGGTGACCTTGCAGCACTCGAGTGTCAGAGTAGTTAATAGAAGAGGCTCTGAAGCCAGGCTACCTGGACTCCGATCTTAAATCTGGCATTGATTGTAAAACCTTGGGCGAGTTCTTTGACGTCTGTTTCCTTAGCTGGGACGTGGGGGTGGGTAGTCTTAAAAATAGTATCTATCTCAGAGAGTTGTTGGGTATTTGGTTTTACCTTTCCCCCCAGACCCACATAAGGCTGATGTTGTCTATTTGTTTAGTTCTGGGATATTATCTATGTACTTTCTTTTGTATGGTTTCCTTTTCTCCTTCATTTCTTACTTTTTTCTCTTCTTAAAGACTACATAAATGCAACTGTATTCATTTCCTTT